TCGATGAGTTGGCATTCTAGGTGGCGCACGAGTGGTAGGTCGCGTCCCTTCGTCCTGCATGGCGGTTAGGTGTACGCGTGGCATCCGTATGGCTGTGACTATTCAGAAATTGATGAATAGGCATGATGAATGGACACTTCACTTCATGGTTCAATCTGAGCCGTCAGATCATAAAAATAGTGCGATCCAATGGCTAAGACGAATCAGACCAAGTGGTGCACCAGTTCCTGAAATGTCACACACCTGTTCCATGAGACACTTCAATCTCTATAAATAGGGACCCCCATATTCGTTTTTTGACACACCAAATCAATTACGAATTCAATTGATTTCTAAATTCTTCTATCTCCATATTCTGCTCGTAAAAAATCTCTTATACTTCCGTCGTTATTCCGTTCAAGTACGATCATTCATTGGTTCGACCGACAAGGTTGGTATTGTGCAGTATCGACTTTGGAAGGAGCGTTGTATCTTGGGAGACAGACGTCCATAATCCCGTTTGCACTTCATTGGGGGGGCGAAATCTGTCTTAAGGAGATTTGCTTACTTTATTGGCATACCTCGCTTCATTTACTGTCTATTTTTCTGCTTATTTTATTTCTTCTTTTGATTGCGTTAGTCGAATTTTCGACAACAATAAGTTGTAGATTCCATAAAAAAAATGTGATTACGAATAATTGTTGACTTTAACTTTAATAAAAAATTTAGATTTTAATCCTTAACAAACATGAACTTAGTATTTTCTCAAGTCCAACTATTCAACTCGTTAACGTATTAACATATCAAGTAATATAGTGTTTGGATAAAATTATAATGGATTTTGTAATGAAAGTGAGTAGTGAATTTCACGAAATATATGAATAATAAGGTATCATATAATTAAAATTATAATAAAAATATATTTTATCTAAATAAGTAGTCTCATTTTTCAACAAGACAACAAGAACAATATCGGAATAATTATACCTCCACATTCCATTAAAAAAAAAAAAAAAAATTCCTTATGACGCTACACATCTATTGAATTATTATTATTATTATTTGTCGAATTACCAAATATAAATATAAACCAGGTCACACCTTGAAAAAAGTAAAACAAAGAAAACAATACGATCACAAGCCTACTCCGTACACTCGACTACAGGGGATAGCCCCCTTGTTCTCCGCTGTTGCTGTTATCCTTGCCGTTACGTAAAGAATATTGAAAATTTTGAAATTGAAAAAAATAAAAAAATATTATCAAAAAATTAATTTACAAAATTACCAACATTAAAAATTGCATATGAAAGAAATTTTTTTCCTATATATATCAGGGAAAAGGTCGTCAACAGCAGTTCATCTTCATCTCCTTCTCCGTTCATTACAGAAAGTAGATAACAATAATGAAAGTTAAAGGATTAATTATTAACTTTTTACATGCATCATTCCTTGTTTTGGGGATTTTTCAAGCATCCGTAAATGGCCGCCCGTTGTTGCTGTCGCTCGACCGGCCGCGGCCGGATGATGCCGCTGACTTTGCTCGGTGGTTGGTCTGCCAGAATTCATGGGGCGCATTTGTTTGGAGTTTTTATTTCACTCAGGGCTAGCATGCTTGTATCACATATTCAATTGAATCTGAACCTGATGAGGCTACCATTTACTCCGGCAAACAATGGTATAACATTTTGGATAAAAATCTGGTCAACGAAATTGCACTGAGATGGATCCTTTCGTTTCTCCGGTACGATTTTTTGAGTAGAACATAAATTGCAAGAGCTTTGAGCTTTTGCTGAAATGAATAACACTTTTTGCACCCAATTTGCAGCAACCAAATTATCATCCTCACTCCTCCACATCAAACGCCCAACAGGTTGACAGTCAATCAGGGCCTCGTAAGCATGAACAATGGACTGACTATGAGACGAACATTTTCGTCGCTGCCTATGAGACTGTAATCGTCGATGGACACTGAAATGGGAAGTGCTTCACCAATTACGGATGACAGACATTGGTTCACTTCTTTAACACCAACTCCGGGTACAATTGGAGCAAGCAACAGCTAAAAAATCGGTGGGATACTCTCCGCCTGAAATATAAGAGATTTGAAGAATTGATAAACAGCAGTGGCATCGTGTATGACACGTCTACTGGCTTGATTTGCGCCTCGATGGAGTGGTGGGATCGAAAGATTAAGGTACCATTGTTTCATGAACGTGTTTTGTCAAAATTTGGTTGAATACGCACTAGCTATAAAGAAACCAATATGCTTGACAAACATGTCGGTGGTAAGTCAAGACAAATAGTTTCAGCTTATTCAAGTTAGCTTAGACATAATTTGAAGTTTTCCTTCACTCATCAGAAATGTTATTGTAATTATTATTTTCTCTTTTATTTTCATATTTTTGTGTATGGATAACAATGATTTTCATTTTTGTTATTTTCTGAGTTTTATGCAATTGAAACTTTATTTTTAGAGTAATTTTTTTATGATTCTTTCACAATTTGTATTTCTTGCATTCAGTAAGGTTTGTGAATTGCATCTTTTAGGGATTAGGTACCTTCAATTTAGTGTCACAAGTTTCATATCCAGCATCGTACGTCCAATATGTTTTGTGTGTTGAAGTTGGTTTGTTCCTTTATGAGAAAAAGGAATTGATGGTTCCAACTTGAAATTTTTTTGAGTTTTATGCAATTGAAACTTTATTTTTAGAGTAATTTTTTTATGATTCTTTCACAATTTGTATTTCTTGCATTCAGTAAGGTTTGTGAATTGCATCTTTTAGGGATTAGGTACCTTCAATTTAGTGTCACAAGTTTCATATCCAGCATCGTACGTCCAATATGTTTTGTGTGTTGAAGTTGGTTTGTTCCTTTATGAGAAAAAGGAATTGATGGTTCCAACTTGAAATTTTTTTGCAAGTGTTTTCCAATGTTTTAGCTTTCCCAACCTGGCTGCAACCAATTTGTTCATACCCACATTATTCATTCTATGCTCATGTTGTATGAACGTTCGAAACTGCACCAATTTTTGTACACCTATCTACTTTCCATGTCTGTGTAAAAGATGTGAACCCTTTTTGGTTTGTATTTTTGTAGGAGAGGAAGGAGTACAAAGAGTATAAGGATAAGGATTGTCGAGAGGTGTATTGATACAATGTTTTATTTGGGGATGTTTTCAACTGTGATAAGTACGCAATCACACCTAGCTAAGCATGTCGCACTTGCTTCGTGATGTTCAAAGATAGTGGATATGAAGACCACTGTGACAAGATCCCAGTGGATGTGGAAAGCAACAGCTCAAGCGACTAGGACGGTGTACCCGAACTGCCTTTTGCAATCATGGATAAATCTGGCCCGCATAGCAGGGACAAACAAAAGGCCATCGAGAAGCGAACGAAGGAGAAGAAGAAGAAGTTTTCATCAAGGGACGTGTTCTACTCTGTAGATCATGCTACCTCAGCCAGTGAGAAGATTGCTGCAAAAATTGACAACTTTATCACTTTATCATAGCTGTTGTGTCCGACCTGAAGACGCATGAGCGAGTTACTAGCAATGGGTCAACTCCAAGAAGCAAACAGATCTGTACTTTTACACGTGCAGATTCCTTTCGCAGAAGGCCAATAGAGAGATACTGGACATGCAAGGCGATGCTAATGCCAAGTTTGCTTGGGTGGAGTGAAGCTATCAAGAATATAGGAAAACACGACGACGGTCATAGCTATGTTTGTGTGGATTGCGTACAATTTTTCGTGCTATTGTTTATGTTTACATGTACTGTGTTTGACGTGAAGACATTATGTTTGTGTCCAGTATGTACGGGGGACTATTGCCTAAATTTACCTTGTGCATCCTGAAAAGTTTTACTTTCATATGCACATGTGTAGACAAGAATCACATTTGGATGTATGTTCACATTTCGGTCAAACAAGTGCTCAATTAGTTGGTGGACAGGTCACATCAGTCACATCTTTACATAAATTTTTGGTGGTCTTGAGCATAGCTTCAAAGACAAATCATTTCTCTTGCCTTCTTGTATCAGTGACATCGTTCTATAAAAGGCACGTCAATTGTATGGAAATTTACAACTTGCAAAAGGCATAGTTTTGGATATCCTATTGTGATTATGGTAGTATGGCGCATTCAGATTTCACCTATGAGTTGTAGCCAACCTCCGATGTCGAGGACGAATTGGGCAATGAAGCATTCATAGAAGAATTGCAAGTGGACATTATGGAGTGGTTTCGGTACTGTCAAATCAATGAGGTTACCCTCAGAAACTATTATCGTGAACAAAGCATTCGTGTTTTGCAATAGCCGTTCGCTCAAAATGGTCATACGTTCATGCTGGATGCAATGAATTGTAGTCCTCAACAATGTTACGTCAAGTTTCGCATGTATCCCGTGATGCTATGAACATTAGCACATATGCTTCGCGATGAGTACGGGCTTCGCAGTCATCAGCACATAGATATTTATGAACAAGTTGGTATGTTTCTTTGCATATTTGCGCATGGAAAGAGGTATAGACAGGTACAGAGGCTTTTCAACCATTCATTGGAAACCATCGGGCACTACTTCAAGCTTGTGCTTCGAGCGGTCCTCCAGTTCTCTCGAAGAGTAATTCAACTTGATCCAAACTACAATAATTATCCTGAGCATCACGTTCCAAATTTGAACAAGCATCACATTTTTCGAAATATCATTGGTCGATTGACGATACCTACGTTAGAGCCGTCCTTCCACGGGACCAACACGTGAGTTTTATCAAACGCAAAGGAATTCCAACCCAGAATGTGCTAGCGGTATGTGATTTCAATTTGTAATTCACATTTGTGCTTGCCGGTACAACGGGAAACTCTCATGATGCTTGAATCTTGGCTCAGGCTATACATAATCTCGAGATTGACTTTTCGCAATCGACACCTGGAAAATATTATCTGGTTGACTGGAGCTTTGCTCATTGACCTGGGTATATGGCACCCTATAAGGGTTCAGATATATTGTACCATTTTCAGTAGTTCTATAATGGAGACACTAGTCGCAGACGTAACTTTTGAAATGCTCGTGAAAAATTTAATTCCAGGTACTCGTCCTGCAGGAACGTCATCGAACGTGCATTTGGCGTTTGGAAAAGCCGTTGGAAAATACTTGATTGTATGCCAAGTTATACTTTTGACGTGCAAACATCTGTTGTAATTGCAACTATGGGCATTCATAACTTTCTTCGATGGGTGGACGTGGTGGACGAAGCATCTATGAGAGTGGAGACAGACCCAGACGCGATAGAGGTAGAGCTCCTGAGCGCACATGATGAAGCTTTTGCTGAATTGAATGTACCGAAAACCCGACGAGATGAGTGTGATATGTTCAGAGATTACCTGGACAACAAC